CCAGAGGTAAACTGTAAACAACAGGGTATGTCGCAAGTTCCTTTTCTTGACACTCAATACAAGTGGAAAGTACCATAAAACAAACAAAGCCAATGATCAGCAATTCACATCCTTAAGATGAGTGTACCGGTATTTCATTAGGAAATGCAGAATGGGCGTATTTCGTAATAATGGTTACTGAAACCTACCACGCCCGGCTGTCCCGGTTGCTGCAGGCGTTGTTGTTGGGTCCGAACCCGAGACGCGAATGGCGAACGAGAACGGAAAAAATGCCATACCTATTATAAAATTAATGTAGCTTTCCTATGTTTTGAACGAGGAATATTGCGCGCCCAACGCCCATGTTACTTATAGGCTGAGTAAACAGCTAATGATATGTGGTGTATTTGGTAGAGCTAATAGGGCCGTCTTTTGGAAAAACTCTGATGTGTGGAGACATTAATAACATTGGGACGAAGAAATAAAAACAATTCAGCCGAGAATTTTTTCGTATTTTTCAAGTTGGACAATTTAGCAACCCGTCCATTGTATTTGCAACGAAATCTTTAGGTGAAAATTCAGTTTCCGATTTCCATTTCTACCATATGATTAGCAACGAATATGTAGACCGATAAGCGTTACTAAGGGACCAAATAACTCTCGGCAACATGTGAACGGGTAAAACGACACCGTCGTTTACGCCACTTACATACGTGAAAGTAATTATGCCAATGAGATTTATACTATGCATTTGGGCCAAAAGCCTTCGGCAGTCGTGACACACGTTTAAATGTTAAATGTCATTTTGCCCCACGATTACCAAGTATATATACAAGAAATATAACTACGACAAACAGCCTTGGCACAGACCGTCTATTTATATCAAGGATGCTTTTCAGCGGAGAGATAACTACAAAATGTATAGGAAACTAACTTGTGGTCTCAGAGACTGCATGATGGAATGCAAAAACGACATACAGCTTCTCATGTGTAAATTCACCCGAAGAAACTGATAAGATACGTTTAGCTGGCTCGCGCATCGTGAAATGACCGAGGTCGGTGTTGCTGGATGCATATTACGCTCAATCATTGTTTACAACCCATGATAGTTTCGCGTCATTGTTTCTCATTATCCACACAATGTTTCGCTGACCAGTTTGGTCACGATGGAAAAATCCCTTATAACTGCGGGCAGTATAAACGATAGATAGAGACCACAGGAAACGGGTGATAATCATTTGCCTGATAAAAAATCTTGGAAGTGGAACGTGAACGAAATCCGGTTGGGATTGCTAGCGAAGAATCCGGCGACCAAGCTCCTCTTTCGTTGACAAGTTGTTGTGTGTTTTTAGTAAAAATTATTCACAGTTACTTCAACGAATTTCCAAAAGTCAATCAGCAATTTAAATTTTGTAAATATCAATAGCTCGCTATTTTGAATGAACTTGGTCGTAAACGTTCATTTTGTGTTTTCCACCTGCGAATGAAACCGAGCGTGTTGGATGCTTTCGAAGAACAGTGGAAATGTATAGAAGAAATAGTTGACCGGAAAGAAAGTACTATCTGTAAGATTGCGTGCAACGCACTGCGGGAATGTAGTTCAGGTAGTCAGGGTCGGTTCACCGATGAACAACAGATAAGCCGATACGGTGTTCATTAACTGTTTCGCATAGGATACCGGATAACTGCAAACATGCTGTTAACCGATAAAATCCTGTTTCATGTTATCCACACAAAGTTTTGCTGACCACTTTGTTCACCATGGAAAAATTCTTTTTCACTGGGGGTAATATAAGCGACAGACAGAGCCTATATGAAAGACGTGATAATCATTTGCCTGATAATATATCTTGGAAACGGGCCGTGAACGAAATCCGGTTCGGATTCCTAGCGACAGATTCGGCGACAAAAATGCTCTTTTGTTGACAAGTCGATGTATGTTATTAGTGAAAACGTATTACTTTTTTTCAATGAATTTGCATAAGTCAATCGGGAATTTAGATTTGTGTAACTATCAATAGCTCGCTATTTTGATTATTGTTGTCGGGAACATTCACTTTGTGTTTCCTGCCTGTGAATGACACCGAGACTCTGGAAGCGTTTCGAATGTATACAATACGATGGTCAGCCGGAAAGAGAATGATATCTTTAAGTTTGCGTGCAACGCACAATGTGATATGGTTCAGGTTATCAGTGTTGGTTTGTTGATGAGAAGCCAACCGATTCTTTGGTTAATTAAACTGCTTTGCAAAGGATACCTGGTAGATGACATCAAAGTTGCGAAGTATCAAATTAAACATCCACCGAAGCATTTCTCACGTTACAGCAAATGTTCATAATGGAATGGAAAATGGAAACGAATAGAAATGACAACTTCACTGTAAATCCAGGACTACGCAAACTAGCACTATCGATTTAAATAGAGAAACTGCAAAGATGTTTTTGTTGGCTACAATGCTCAAGAAGGTAATTAAACTTTTATAAGCGCACACTGTTGGGGTAGGTATGAGCATGATAACCTACGATAAATGACTTAACCACGAGAGGGATGGCTGGCGCAGATTTCTTTAAAGGTATATAATATGTACTTATGAGGATTCAGCAGAACAGATTAGAGGATAGATGTTAATTTACCCACAAACCCCCGATAATGAAGGACATCCTGGTGCTTCGTATGTCACAAATAATTTGTTTTGGCGAACATTAATAACCTTACGTAATATAAGTTACCGCAACGTACTACGTCCTGATACCATGGATGCTGCAGGCATGGTTGTAACGTTAGCTAAATTTGTTGATGCTAAATGAAAAAGCTTTATACAAAATGCGACCCCGGAAAAGGTGGAACGTTGCTCCCTACTAATCCTGGGTTTTCCAGTTGAAATATTTACCCCGCGCAAATGTTGCTTCTAGGCCTGGTGAACCAATAATCACCGATGGCAGTGAATTTAATCTAGGCATCATTTGAAAGGATTCTGATTGGTGCCGTTGAAGATAAATATTTATTTTTATTTTTATTTATTTATTTATTTTTATTTTCCGAAACATAGCTAATGCAGAAGCAGGTCTACATTGTCGGCAGCGACTATTTTAGTTAGCATTTATAAGACCTATCTTTCTCCCAAGGAACACTTTTCATGCCCCTCAACAAATCAATTATCTCACGATAACATAGGGACGAAAAACGCACTTTACGTCAACAAAATAAATGAAGACAATTAGTGTCGTCTCCGCAGGAGCTGTTTTAGTGAAACTCCTTTCTGTTGTATGCCATTTTGCAGTAAAATAAAAGAACATAATCACATTGGTTGTTAAATATCGAGCAAACACCTATTGCAAACGCATTCTAGCGTGCAACGCACAACGGGAATATGGTTTAGGTAGTCAGCGTTGGTTCACCGATGGATAACATAAACTGATTCGTTGTTCATTTAACTGTTTCATTAAGGATAACGGATGAATGAAAATATGCTTTTAACCGATGATTTTTTTGGAACGTTTTGTTTTGCAAAATTCCTTTTCCTCCAGGCAAGCGCGCAGAATGCATCAAAGCATCAAAGTATGAAACTATGCACCCACTGAAACATTTTTACGTTGCATCAAGTGCTCGTTAGTTGCAAACATCCCAATGAAGATGACAAATACATAGTAAACTCATTACTACGCAAACCAGTACTATCGATTTAGAACCGGATGGATGTGTAGTTTTTGGGTATGATGCTCATGAGGGCAAGTAGCTTTTTGTAACCGCATACTGGCGGAGTAGGTGTAAGCATGACAACCTACGGTAAATGTGAAAACGGCGAGACGGGCGGTTTGCGCCATATTAGGATGAAGTGAACTCTTCTGGCAACGCACCTGAACAGATTGGAGGATAAATACTGTTTTACCTACAAGCCACAGGTAATGAGGGATTTTCCGGTGATTTGTGTGTCACAAATGGCGTACTTTGTTAATTGGCCATACGTCAGTGAAAATCATAATAGTAGTCTCGAACTTAAGAAACTATTTCCGATTTCCGACAGTACTTCAGAGGCGAACTATGAACAACAGAGTGTTTCGCAAGTACGTTTACTTGACTCACAAATGTAGATGAAAGAAACATATGAAAAAATCCGGGCCAATGACCAGTTAATCAGATCCCTAATGATGAGTGCACCAATATTCCACTAGGAATCGTATAATGAGGACCTTACGTAAAAATGTTTACTGAAACCTACCACGTCCAAAATTCTTGGTGGTTCCAGGTGAGTTTTTTGTCGGTGTCAGATGAGAAAACGTTATACAAATTGTGACAGCCGAGACTAGGAAATATTGCTTTATAATAATCTTAGATATTCAAAGTAAAATATTCCCCCCGCCCTCATGGTATTTGTAGGCCAGATGAACAGTAAATCACCGAGGACAAATTTGGCGCATTTCATATAGCTTGCTTTAGAACAAACGCCGACTGATGCCGACAAAGATAAAATGTTGAAATAAAACAAATGAACTTTTTCCATTTTCCAAAATTTTTTTAATCTGGGAACACGTCCGGATTTTCGGCAAAAATCATTTCAGTAGGCATTTATAAGCCCATTTCGTTTCCCAACACACCTTTTTATGCCATCGGAGAGAGATCAGTCATCTCACAATGACACACGGACGGAATAATTGGCAACGTACTTTACGGCAACGGATATTCTGAGGGTTCAGCGCCACTACACGGACTGTGTCCGTAAAACCACGCAGTTATGCGTAATTCGCACTGCAGCATGTAAGCATTTGTACATAGTCTGTTAAACTCAAAGCAAATAATTTTAGTAAACACATTTTAGCTCATGAGGATTTACTTATTTAGGAGCTGTTTATTGCAAGAGTAACAACAAAAATATTTCACCAACTAACTTGTCGTTTTAGTAGCTGCGTGTTTGATCAATGAGTGTATCATAATAATATGGTGGGTTGTTTTTACTTTTAAGTCCCTCGTATAAAAATGTAAATGTGGGTTTTTCTGGATCAGGTCAAAACGCCAGACTTACCTTGGAGTGTAACCTAAAAACAATATAGGCGAAATGCACAAACACAAATAACTGATCCATCAGACTTCGCAATCTGAGATCTATTCGCGGCTTCACTTATGATTCCCTAATCAGCACTCTCCGGCATAGTTATCGGCGCAGTCAGAGTGTTCCGGGGGATTTGTCAGAATGAAATATTTTTCTTTACGCCGGATGTAATAAACTGGTTTTCAGATAAAACTCAAGTTATACTGACCATCGTTTCCGGTTCGGTAGGCGACACGTGTACGCCATATGTTTTGCAATGTAGTGCAGTAGTAATAATAAGGTATCCCAATTTGCTCATAGGAGGTGCTGCTCAATATTCCGGAAAATTCAGATCTGTGTGGTAATCACATCTCAGGGCATTCAAGAAAATATTCCGTCCCATTGAAAAACATTGAAAATACAAGTTAGAAAAATTCTGAGAACGTAGTAAATTCCTGACGAACAGTATGGTAGAGATGAAGGGACAGCGCATGGCTTTCATCATGCGATTTAATGTTAAGGGTTTGGCGGCAAGCCTTACCTTCACTCAAACATTACATCACTTTTGTGCAATTATTTGAGCAGGAAATTGGACGCGTAATTTATTATCTATTTGCATGGAAATATTTGAGCGAAAAATTCTGTCAATAATAAGGCATAATTTTATCATCTAAGGGCTACAATAAAAGCACAACATGCAGACGCACGCACCCATTAATTTTGCGCTCAGCATTTACAGAATACATCGCACAAAATTAGATCCTAGGAATGACGGGAGAATACTTGTAAATAATTAGCATGCTAGCGCTTTCAACCTCTGAATCTTACATATAATTCATTGAACCGAATTACTTCCCACACCCCTGCTGTATTTGTGCAATTCTCCCTGCGTATGCAAATTATTGGATAGAATGTCAAACCGCGAAAATCGTAAGGCACACGCGACATTCACCTCAAAACATAGCGTTTCGGGACCGCACGGGATAACTATTTTTGTACCCCGCCGACACGTACAAGGCATAAATGCATTTCGCTGTCACAGGCTCTTAAGTGACCAAAATCAGAAGGGGCAATCAATGTGTGTGTCACAATTTTCCATTTTGCGGTACCCTGATTGCCATATCTGTTATTCATCAGCGTCAGCATCATTATCACCACTAAAATATACTGAAAAATATACGCGGAACATCAAGTTGCTCCTTACGATGCGTGTCGTCTTCTCACCTTTTAACTTTGTCTGAGTAAACATTTCGTTTAAATGTTCAGTTGAATAACCTCGGTTGCGTTTAATTTATGTGTGCCAATGGAATTTCCTGCAATTAAGAATCATTTCAAAACGTCGTTTTCAAAAAGACTTATGGGTGCATGTTGATAAACTTCTACATCAGCGATAACAATTGTGTACTAACCCGGTTCAAGGCACAATTGTGCTTTGGGCATACGTGCTTAAAAATGCATCGGCATATTTAGGGACCAACATTTAATTGAACTGAATTTAAAAATAATAAATTCCGTACACATAATTTGCTTCCCGGCCTTATTGTGGTTTCGACCCCTTACTTAATAACAAGTATTGAGTCCCTTGTCAATGGAAGGTAAGTAAAATACTGGCGCGAGCAACCTATTGTATTCTCTGATTCCACGGTGGAAGCGGAGCAATTAGCTCATGAAAATGTGGACGGTTCACTCAACATTTGCGCTTGTAACGTTAAGTGTGCCATTTTCATTTATGTTATAGCACCCCGATGTTCGGCTAGGCAAGCGTCCGGATTGTACCATCACCAAAGCTTTACTTGCGATTAGTCTTGAACGAAAATGACGGTTTTTACTTAGAAATGCATTCCTTTCCGTTTTTTATAAATTCATGAACTCGCAAGCAAAGATGAAAGCAAATGCGCAGTAGTTCGTTTCATCTGAAACTGCTTTAGTGATTGTAATGATTTTGACGGAATCCTAGTTTCGCCGACGAGGTTGAGTCTTCTTCTAAAGGTTCTTAATTAGGTTGCAGGTTACACTATTTCTATCTTAGCCATTTTCAGCAGAAAACTGAATTTCACGCGCTTTTTGCGTTTTCGGTTAACGGTTTTAAAAGTGTCCCAAAGTGTTGTGTTGTCAAAGAACGGCGTACGAGGATAATCGCCATATTGATTTATATTCATTAGGGTATAGTCAAGATAACAGTCGTTGAAACAATAATGTGAATAATGTGTGGTTCCAGGCGCTTTATGACATACAGTCCGAGATTTTCATAATGTCATTGTCAAAGCGCAAAACAGCTGAGGGCTATTTTGGGTGTCCAGCTATGCTTAGAAGAAAGTCTATCCCAAAATAAAATGCACTATTTGATGAAGGTAGAATGATGCATAGCCTACCACTGCTGAACATCGAGAAGAGAAGGCGGTTTTTCGGGTTATGTGGAACATGTCAGATTTAAGCAAAAACAGACAGACACTCCGAAAACCTGGCAGAATTAAAGAAAAGCCAGAATGAAACTGAAAAATCCCATAAGGTATGATGTGGGAGCGTATTAATTGGGAAAATAACGAAACACGTGAGCATTACGAAATTAAAACGAAATTCGAAATGATTTGCATTGTTCACGTGCTCATTGACAGTCCATTTGTCTACCAAGCTCGAGAGAACCACTTGTTATGTTGACGAATTAGAGAAGTTCGCACCGCAGATAAAAGTTTGCTCAAACATCTGAAATGAATTGATAATATATACAACCTGGTGTCGCCATTTATGTGTGATCTACAGAGTTACTTGGAAGTATTTATCAGGCATAAACCACGGTGCCTAGCGTAAAATTTAAAGGTACCTAATTATTTCGCAATTCAAAGAAGGTGAGTTTCATCCAAATTATTCAACTGCTAGAGGGGTGTTGAGTAAAAATGGTGAACAACTTTCCGAGATGCTATCGGGAAAGTTTTATCAGTTTGTTCGTATATGCAATTATCCAAAAAAATATCAAAATTACGTGGATTAGTTGAGAATATGGAGATTATATTTAAGCATTTGCCGTACGCCTTCATATAACAGTGCCAAGTTCTTGCTTTAGTTATATACCTTGTTTCCGGGCAGCTTCTGTTTTCGATTCGCAAGGGCTGAACTGTGACCAATTGCTACACACCAGCTTGTTGTGATCACTTCCATACAACCGCGCGCTACTTGAGTTGAGTTCCACGAAATAACTTTAACCAGCACTGGGAAAGTTAATCTGAATAACAAATGAAGCACATAAAGCAGTGCTCCTTTTTGTTACTGTCCGAATTTTCTATCTTGAAAACTGGTTACGCTTAGCTTATAAGGGATATCCAAAATCGCATTTGAGTGAATTTTGTGCGCGCTAAGATAACAAGCAGTTTCCCAGTTTAAGCGACCTATGTATTTTGTAACGAAAATTTATTTCAATTTCTAAATAGGCTGAAATATATTAACTGCGACATTCCTTTCATTCTCAAAACTGGAATACTCTGCATCATGTTAGCTATCAGCTTAAACGAGTTTTCATTCTAGATACCGAGGAGGAAGTATCTGAATTATTTTGAAACCCGGAGGCTCGTTGAACCTGTTACCCACAAATTTCGTCCGGAGCAGTTTCCTCGGAAATTATGACTGATACAGTGACCTGTATTACTTTAAAGGAAAAGATGCTATAAAAACAAAATTCAACAATTGTTGAAAAGCCTATCTTAGTGCATCAGAAAGCTCGGCGAAACGTTATTTAAAAATTACATCCGGCTGAAGTCTTTGTTGTATTTATGTACATCCCCCTTTAGTGTATATCCCGGCTTTCGCTTGTGCGCCTATGTATGGCATGATTACAACTCATCAGCCGTTGGATTGATTTGTGGGTAATGCGCATAATGCCACACAGGTGTGTGACGGCGTATTTGGGTACATGCAACTGCTTGGAAAACGGAGAGTCACATTCAGAATCTTACGTGTGCTTCCGCAATTTTTACCTTTGTCAGTATGACGGTAAATATAATATGATTCATTTTGCAAGATATGGGAAAATGATGTATAATAGCTCTACATTAGAGATAGCGCTAAACGGTCATGTAAGACAGTTCCGCTATATAGAACGAAAACATACCGTCAGTGAAAGAGCGAACACGAAGGTAGACGACAGTATTGCGCTTACGCTTATTCTGCCACAGACCAAAACTCCCCATAATGTTCTGATTGCATAAGAGCAATACGATTTCTGGAATTCTAGCAACAATTTAAGGCCGTGAAAACTAAATTGCAACACAACTTTACATGCAAATAATAAAATGATCCAAAAAGGATAATATCAATGGCACAGAAAATTTCAATCGAACAACTTGGTCGGCGTAAGGCTCGGGTAGATTCCACATGAAATTAAGTAGTTACAAGTCTCATCAGTTCGCATTTGTCCCATGCATGTTCACAGCAAACCACCACTTACCGTTCTTCAACCACGTTATCACGTGTACAGTGTGAGTGATAAAATTCACATTATTATGATCGCAGATCCGGTTTGCATTACACACCGTTTCTAAAAATATTCGCGAGTTCTGATAAGCAAGACGTTTTAAGTACATCGCGGGAAACTTGAAATAATACACCACTCTCATTTTTTACTCTACAGGTGAGCACATACAACCAAACACTTAGCTGTTCCAAAAAATTCCAAGAAATATCCATATAAATGAATTCAAAAAGCTCCCTCATATCACCAGTTTTAACATTACCGGAACATTTACGTGTGAGTGTCGCATCATCCGATCCAAAAGTTGACCCTAACCGTGTACTGTAAAAATTATGGTTGCGTTATTCCAAACGTTGCACGCTGAAAGAATGTCTCCGGGAGCACAGAAGGATGCAACTGATGTAATGAATGTGCCGTTTATTTGGAAGAGCCGAAAGACGACTTTTGAAGTGTATGTTGTATGAAAACACTATACTGGCTCATTTACGCGTCCAAAGTTTCATTGTGTTCATTGTAAAACACCGGCCTTAATCTTAGCCGCCTACAGTGATTTAGGCAGTTGTTAATACTTCGCCGCCGCGAGCGTCTGTTCATTGTTCCAGTTTATTTGTCTAAACTGTAGAAAGGCATTGAAGCAAACAATGTTTTGTACATCATTGTTCATCCGGTTGAAATGTCTGGGGCATGGCATCAAGTACTTATATTTGTAATGTGTCGCGACATTCTTTTGTCATGCATCTCGTATTTGCTTCCCTTATAGAAGCAAAGAGCAACGTTGATGCTTGTTAACCAATTTCCTGGTTACGCAGTCAGTAATTTTGATTATCCCACTAGTTGGGTAGAAAGGTAGCATCAGTACGTGCTTAACGAGTTTGCATGAAAAAGAGACAAACATAAAACTGGTGCTGCTTCCACCGGTGATTGATTCTTTGCCCTACTCAGCAAATACTCTTTATACGCGTTGAAATTTAAATGCATTATACTTGTTTTTTAAGGAAGGGTTTGGATTTTTCATGAGAATGGATAAATAATGGCTCCATTTTTCAAGAATGCACAACAGATGGCACACTTTATTTCACATATTGATCTTTCAAAATCTAGTCGCTATTAAAGAAACCAGTTACTTCTTGGTTTGTTAGATTACGGTGCATATTTAATAATTTTTCTACATTCACTCAAAGAGAACATATGACATTAGACAACAGCACTGCTAAGTATTTGCTAAACATAATTTAACTAGGCAATTGTTTTGGAGTTACCAGTAAACTTCTTGTATAATACAGTATAATTTTCCTCATGCTTCGCATACTTTGAAAGCTAATTTATGTTTGGTTTCTGGTACGAGTGCTTCACGGATTCACGGATTGATACACAGGATTGAGGCTATTGCCCAACTTTCCCGGGTCGCTTTTGTTCTTGCCGGTCAGTGGCTATCGTTCACCTGAAAAGCACAGGTGAAAAAAGGGTGTAACACTGCTCTTTATGTTCCCCGAGCGGGGCAGTATGCCTGCCAGCGCAAAGATTCACATTAATAAACGCCAAGTAGTGCTTTGAACTTGGTTGTAGAAGGAGCGCGGACAACCGTAGGAGGAAGGGCATTCCACGAAGCTACTAACTCAATGGAGTAAAAAATCGTTTGATGAATGTCTGCTGCCTGAGCTTGAAAATATTCTTACTATGTCCCCGCCGTGTGTTTGCTGGACCAACGTTGAAAAACCCGTTTGCCAAGCTTTAATCCAACAGGGCATAAATAAGTATTGGGTCCCCTGGGAGACGACGGTGCTCCAGTGAAACGAGATCAAAAATCGCAGACGCGTTTTGTAGTCAACAGATTTGAGGCCGGCAACCATTCTCGGGGCGGATCTCTAGAAAAGCTCAATGACGGTGACGTCTTTCTGACTAAACAACTTGGTTGACGTATTCCAAGAGCGGTCTGACTTAGGCTCCATTTGGCGTTTGGAAGGTCACTCGAGTGATATGGGAGAAGGTGCTTCGGATCATCCGTAAAATGCGCCGATTTCTCATGGTGCAGCGAGAAGGACAAGTTTGAGGACTCCCAGATGCCGAAACCCTTTTGGGCATCTATCCTCATGCGGTTTTCCGGTCCTATCACCATGCATAACGAAGACATTCGCTGAATCCCCTCCAAAGCACACATGGACTCATTTTCGTCCTTCAGAGGAGGCTGCTAGGCAAACGACACTGCTTGGCAGCGTCTTAATCCATTTGGAGGGCACTGGCATTGTAACTTATGGATTTCATGTCTTCCGAAAAAGTAGACATGGGCTTGCAAGAGCATCTGAGAGGGCGTTGACGTCGATGTGAAGCAGCACTAGCGATGATCTGTCTGATAAGAGCGCCTTGATCCAGCAAAGGATTTCCCCTTGAAACCCGTAAGACATCGGTTTTGTGAATCAGCGGGACGTGTGTGACTATATCAAGATGCTTTGAAAAATATGGCATCCGATATGAGACCCTCGTCTTCCGCTTGGGTTAGGCTGTCCATATACACGTGTTGAGTTGGAGATATCAGGTTGCTGGAAGTAAGGTGAACTAGGATAGCTC